GAAGACAGGTAGTGATGGCAGCCTTTGGGGATTATGTGGGCATTTATCAGTAAGGAAAGGCCTTTGGGACCCAGTAAGGAAGGGCCTTTAGGACCCCAACTCATCATTTTGATCCGAACCCGTGATCTAAAGGGTCTGAAACGCGTTGAGTATGGCATTATCACGGAGCTCACCGTTTAATGCATGGAGAGGGGTATGGAACGAATGGTAGTTTCCAAAAATGGGTGAATACAATTCAGAGCCCCATATATTATAATCTTTAGTATGGGGGACACTTCAAAAAGGTGTTTTTTTGGAAGCCCCCGAACTCCACATGAGAACCCTTGCGATAACAAGTATGATCGAGACAATCTTCACGAACCCCCCCTCCAATCTGCTGGAAGTGCTTAAGGCACCGACGATGTTGGCAAGGTCTGCGATGCAGAAGAAGAGGATGGCGGTTTGGAATCTGCCATGGACTGAAGTGAAGTGGTGCTGAAGCTGTTTCAAAAAACATGGGGGTCTTTCTTAAAACCTTTGGAGGCCCCTAGGATATGCAGGGGTGCAAAAGACTAAATTATAGGTGTCCCCGGGGAGGATTACGTCAGGATTGCGTTGAGAAACGGAGACATGAGCAGCATGTGCAGAGGCTACATCCCACAACTGCAACTGCAGAAGCTTGGCCCATGTCTGCCCGCTGACCCCTGCAACCTTCAACCTGCCTTTGGTTATCTAAGAATTAAGGAATGGATCCTCATGGTAGTCCCTATAAAACCCATCATACTAATGTCCATTTTCTTTTCCATTCCTTCATTCCTAGCTAGCCAAAGGCCAGCAACTGGGCCGGCGGTGCGCCACGGGAACATACTGTAGACGTGCTTCATCAATCTGCTTCTCTGTGGTCTCGGCGGTCTGCTGCTTTTCCGCCTAAGGAAGGTCAGGCTGAGGATTTGGGCCTGTGGGGGGGCCTTGAGGATTACTACAACTATTGGTATCATTACTATTATTCGTATTATTACTACTCTTACTATTATGTGTCTTTAATATTATTACTACCATTCTCACTATTATTACTAGAGTTGTCGCAGTCCGCACATGGATGGGAAAGGGAAGCGTGTTTCGCATGAGTGAAGCTACCAATCGGTTTCTATCAGCAACCAGGCCTTTGCAGACCCAACTAGTAGCCCAAAGCCAAGCAAAGCACCACTGCCCTACAAAGAACCCTCAAACAAGTCCCCTCGCCCTAATAATGACCACACCGCGCCGCTAATAATCAATTTTCCCTCGTAGTCATCTGCTTCGGGCGCTGCTTTTGGGGGAGGTTTGTGTGAGTTCGGGGTCGCGAAGATCCACTCAGGCCCTGGCGATTTCATTGGACAGTTGCTTCGATGCGGAAAGCACCTGCACTTCCGCACAAAACCCCAAGGCAGGAACCTTGGGTCTTTGAATGCACGCCAGGCCTGCTTCCCTCTTGCCTCCCAAGACTTCTGCCGAAGCATGGAGATAGTGTAAGAAGCAACCCCAAAACCCAAACCCGTGAACCCATGCCAGCGAGCCCCAAGCTCTCAAACTTATGCCCTGAATCCTGAGGCCTAAGCCCTAAACCCTACGTCCTCAACTCTAAATCCTTAATCCTTTAACCCTCAGGCCTAAACCCTCAACCCCACATCTGAAACCCTAAACCCAACATCCTAAACCCTAAATCCTAAACCCTAAATCCTAAACCCCTGAACCCTAAGCCCTAAATACCAGCCCCTGAGGGACTGCTTCCTCAGCTCTGCCTGCACAGCCGCTTCGTCCTCCAGGATGTTGCCCTGTGAGGAGCTCAGCACCTGGGCTGGTTTGCTGGTAAGGAAAATTATGTATAGTCCCCCTTAAGTAGAATGTAGGGTTTAGGGTTTAGGATCTAGGGTTTAGGGTTTAGGATTTAGGGTCTAGGGTTTAGGATTCAGGATTTAGGGGTTATAGTCCCCCTTAAGTAGATAGAATATGGCTTGGGGTATATTATAAGAAGATCCCCATATACCCCATATTCTATCTACCTAAGGGAGAATGTGACTTACCAGAATATGATTCCATATGCTCAGTTTCCAACTGTTACTGACTGGGGGCAGTATCCAGTGTGGTGTGCAATCATGATGAGTCCTTTCTCAGGGTCCCTATAATACAGATAATGATCGGGACAGCGGCGCTGCAACTAACAACCCTGAAGTTACATATGAGCTACGATCAAAATTTCCCTCGATAACCAATGGACATGGGTACCTTCTTAGGGACTACATTAAGGACCACACTGGAATACAAGAGGGATACGTTCACTATTAAGAGTCCCTTAGTAAGGCCAGTAACGTCGCGACAGATGAGCGGGAGGTCTGTCATGGGGTTGAGGGATATGCAAGATGTGTGGGTCCCTTCTATGGGGTTATACAGGGACATCTTGTATCGCATAGGATATCGGGATGCAGGGCTTTGAGAGGCGTTGACGGTTCCTGGATTGGGCGGTGCAAGGCCTTCCGGGAAAGCTAGGTAGCAGCATTCATGAGAGTCATTAGACGACTTGAAAAAGCATGCGTGGAAGATGCGAGATGAGGTTCACTCAGAATGTGGTTGACTAGGATTCAGGCTCACTTAACATGGTGCTCTGTGTTTGTTAGAAGAGGGCAGGCGGGATGCTTTCAATCTGCAGAGGCATTCTTACACTCCGGTACTATCCTTTACTATCATGTCTAGGCTTCTCAACGCAGGACAGACAGATTGCCAAGAGATTGACATCTAAGCCTTTGAGGAGCATTTTCTGTTGGTGATACTGACTTCCCACTTTGACGGGTTAAGAGACTGCTGTACTCTGAAATGGCATACTGCCTGGTGAAATACAGCACCTGGCTTGACCTGTTGATCAAACGAATCTCTGAAACAAGGACTCTCCACAACCGATCTCCTGAGGACATGCAGCTCTTAACACATTGCTTGCACAGTTGTAGCCCCTATAGCCCCGTCTTTTCGATAGAGTTAGCTGCGGCAAAGGCGCATCCAAGATTTTGTTCTCCGTGATCTCCAGCTGCTCTTTGTTTTCGGCACCTGGCTAGCAGCTGCAAAGGGTGGCAACAAGGTCTTGCCTGAGCATGTCGATTCTTGTACGCAGCCAGCAATGGCAGAAAGCACGCGCAAATGACAAAGTGGCATCCTGAACAAGCTCCAGGCGGTTAGATTAGGACCTAAATGGTTCCAACAAGATTTTGAGATCTATTTGAGGTACCCTGTACTACACACACACAAAGGATCACAATATTTGTAGCTTTCAGGCTCCCATGCTAGGCCCACTCAAACCAATTCTGTTAGCAAAGCCAGACCTTCCCGGCAGAAACCTCTGAAACGTATACTACGAAAGCCTAGTGCTGTCTGAACTAGCAACTATAAGGGCAAAATCTAAAGAAATAACAATGAGGAGAATAATAAGTTACAGCCAGGCTATTTTTTCTTCATTCCCCGCCTCGAATCCCTAGACCCCAACCCCGCCGATCCCTGGCCTTCCACGACAAGGCGGGCTTTCTCTTCGGCAAGGTCCGGGCGCTCCTGCGTTTCATCTTACTGGTTCTTGAGTTTAGGGTTTAGGGAGTAAAATCCCTATATATAACCCCTATTGATTGGGTTGCCCCCACCCATTAACAATGCATGATAGGGGTCATATTAAGGGTTATATATAACTACATTATAAATATTATCCAACGGTTCATGGGTGGGGGCAGTATCCAACCTATTCACAGATTCCCATGTGCCTTACTAAGAATCAGTAAGTTATTGGGGCTACTGAGGTGAGATGTAGATTGCTGTGGAGTACACGCAGCCCGGGCCTTTACGTTTTGGGTTGGGTTCTTAAAGTGTTGCGCTTTGTTCGTCTTGCGCTCTCTATAAGTTCCCTGGAACCCTTGTAGGAGTTGTCATTCAAGCTGGTTCTGGATTCTAGACAACAGAATATCAGCGAACTTTCAGATACTTCTGTGACAAATTCCTAACGCAATCACGCCATCAAAATGCCACAAAATCTGAACGCTTTGAATGTGAATTCCTTCCCCTGATGTCGACTATTTCCATAATGGTATATATAAGACAGTGGGAATACTTCATATACTATCACAGGGTGGTGTGACGCTTCGATATTCTAGGGGGAGGGATTTGAGCTCGGCTGGGTTGGTGTGCTTACTTCAGCAGTCCTTCTCCACAACAATATTGAGGAGCTGGTCCTGCAGCCCAACCTGCATTCAGCATGTGGTGGGCCTAAATCATTGCTCCAATGGGGTTATCCAGGGATTATATAGTATAGTGGTGATACAGTGAAGCACGGGAAATGCATTACCAATTGGCTGCAGTTGGAAAAATCCCGTGTGCATTGTTTTTCCCAGGCCCTGTGTTTTGCTTGTGCATCCTGACATTGCATGAGGATCATATCACTTTCGATAAAAGGTCCTTAACTGGTGGCAAAGTACCACCAGCCTGGGCAGCCAACTCAAGATTGAAAGCGTCTCACTCAGACCATGTGATGATTGAAGGGCTGGCTGTGGAGATGTTCTCCTGACTCTTCTTGCAATGGGAACTTGCGCGGTAAGATTCCAAGCGTGCGCGCAGAAATCACCTCGCTGCAGGAAGTTTCACGCTCAAATTTTCAACAGTTGCATCGGCCCTACTCCTAAGCTGGATGTAGACACGAATACGCTTTGGCAGAAAACTTAGGCACACGATATCCGTACCTGTATGATGCCGCTTCAGTATGGGAAGACCACCCATGGGGCTTATCCCATGTACTGCTTGCAGAGCATAGCGATACCTCCTTCCCCACTGCTCAGTAAACGGGAATGTGCTGGCGGGATCCCCCCAAATAGTTACATCAAAGACAGCACAAACCCCTGAAGACAAAGAGCAGAGCCGAGCAGTCCATAGCATTGAGGAATGAACAACTTGCACAGTCGGCAGTGTGCATCACAGGCCGTCAAGAGATGCACACAATGAATCGCTTCAGCCAAACACTAAAACATAGACCCTGCCTGCGTGATCATGAAGTTAAGCAGCGTGACCTTCACGGCAACCTGCATGCCAGGTGTTAAGGCAAGCGGGAGTCATCACCATTTCAGCAGTTCTCTCATATTATTTCTCTTCGCATGGCTTCTGAACAACCACCACTGCTCATCATAATCTGCCGTTGATTGTTTCTGGCTGGTCCAGGCAACGCGCGGCATAGGAAGTATTTATATGAAAGCATGATATCGCTACACCTGCTAGCTGAGTCCGTCCCATCAGCGGCCTCTGGCAGGTAGTGCGGATTTCGGAGCTTTGTGGTGAGGTAGAACTTGAAATCTTTCTGCCACTCCATCGTCGTCTGCGCCCAAGCGAAGATTTCAAGGCAAGACCAAGGGTGCAGCTGGCAGAGATTATTCTACAATGTCACTATGCGCCTCACAGACCCAGACTTATGCAAGGGACTCTGCACTTCCGCGTATTCAAGTTTTCAAAGCAAGAAGCATGCACAGGGGCCTCGCCGAGCTTGATCATTACCCTTGGATGCAAGAGAGAGATGTCTCCATCATGATGACAGGTACCTACCCATATGCCTGCTGCTTTCTTGTACAAAACAACAATGTCGGGTACTTGTATTGACTTTGCTGCCACGCAAAGCTCGCACTGACAAGCTGGAACATCTCACCTGGAATGAGACACCCCCACATATTCCTCCTCAAATGGCCAACTGTTTGCCAAGGAGCGCATTGCCCTTCTTGAAGGTCTGTCGAAGAAGCACGGGCTCCACAGCGGGATCTGTGTCCTCCAACCAGGCTGTTTTTGTGTAGTGCGGCCATTCCGCGGCTGAGTGTGGAATAACTCAGTATAACCAGATGCATGGAAAGTGAGTCACAACAGCACACCATCAAACCCTAGACCCTAAACCTCATTGTGGTGGCAGAAAAAGGGTACGAGTACAGACCAGTATTTAGGGTTTAGGGTTCAAACATGGACAACTACACAGAGCAGCAGCAACCACAAACGAACGAGTCCGCAAAGATTTTACCAAACCTTGGCTGCCAAAGCTTGCGATTCAGCTCCCCATCTTGTGAACTGGGTACTCACTCTTGGAGAACCACCTGCTGCTGTTCCCCGTGTCACGGTACAGATTGCAGCACATGCCGGAGTGTGCTCCATGGGCCAGCCTCCAACATGTTTTCAATGAGCATTGGGTTCCCGAACTGGATGCATCCTGTCCAGAGGATGAAGAGCGGAATCCCTATCAACAGATCCTTGACAATAACAATAACAAAAATGCTAAAAGACAATTGTAATTTGAGCTGGGCTTCTTGTGGAGGGCCTAACCACTGTACAGCCATGGGCACGAGCCGCCTGAAGCCAAGCCCTATCAAGGGGGGCGGGCTTCCCAAACACTTTGCGCATGCTCTATGGGCCCAACTCAGACAAGCGGTGCCTTTGACTACCCGGGTACCTAGGTATCTCAATCTCTGTCACATGTTCATTGCAGTTTTCCTTGGTTCCGTTTGTCGGAACTCCAACATATAACATGTCAATCAACAATCCCCGCCGCAAGGCCGGGTCTTGCAAAACTTTGGCATGGATGTAACAAAGTCCTCGTGTACTGAACATCTTAGTCCCCACAACTCCGTATACTCCCCTAAGCCTGGGCCTTTCATTTCAAGTCCCGGCCATTCTCCCAGGATTTCTCTTGCAGGGCTTTAAGAGACTGGATGATGTCCCATCGATTCTCCTCGAGATTCTTCTCATCGGGTCTATCACAAGCTAAATGCCCTGAATTTCCGTTTGAGAAAACGCTCCTGCAAGGACCTCGTGTTCCTGGAGACGCCACAAACCCACAACCACAGCCCTAAGCCTTCATCCCTACAAAATCGCGATCGCGGCCTTCCAGGCGCTTCAGGTAGTCGCCATCCGTAAACTTGGCCACCACGATTTGCAGCGGCTGACCCATCCTGGCATGGCTTCAGAAGGTGTTTAGAGTTTAGGGTTTGGGATGCATTGTGCGACCCAGTGGGTTAATATCCCCTATACATAGGTACTTAGAAGCCCTTAATTGGTGGATAGCTGAGTGAGTAGAAGATATGATCTGGCTATGAGCCAAGCATGTTGCCAGCTAGACTTATGAGATCTGGATTTGGGCTGGAGGTTACAGGCCTGTAAGGATAGCATCCCTTCAAATATTCTGACAACTTGGAGCTCAAAAGATCAAGTCGGAACCACAAGAGTCTACTCAAAACTTGCGGCCCATCCTTTCTCATGCGGCTACCATGGGCCCCCCACAAATTAAAGGCCTTCTTAATTAGGGGTTATTGGGGTCCATTATGGGCTTTTTCGTCCTACGACTTTAGACTCAGGGCCGGAAAATCTTCTGCGATCCGTTGACACTACATTCCAGGGCCCCACTAGCAGGCACAAAGGAGTTGTAGACTCCGAATATCATGAACCCTTTCCAGGCTCCGAAGTTGGAATCACAGACCCCTACCCTAAACCCTAAACCCTAAACCCCTAAACCCTAAACCCTTGTTCCTAAGCCGCAGTCCTGACGCCTGAATCCAGCAGCCAAACAGCAAATGAGCTTGGCATCTGAAGTCCTATACACCCAAAAGCCTGCAGCGCCTAATCCCTGAACACGACGCCCCTGCAGTCCCTAAGAAAAAAATAGTTTCCATGAGTAGGGATAATGCTGGACCTCCTTTAGCCTAAGGGTCC